GCCTCGTTTTGTGGCATTCCCATAGTCCAATGTCAGGGGCCTCTTGGCCAAGCCAACCCGGGACCAGAAAACGAACCCCATAGGTTTAAGCGGGGGGGGGGGGGGGGGGTACCGTGGATAGGGGAGGGTTACCGGCGGTCTAGTTGGACTCCAGCCGAACAAAGTTTCGCACCGAGGCATAGGCGGGGTTGAGGATGATGGCAATCGTGTTGGTGGTTGCAGGCACGAGAAAATAAAAACATTAAACTCATGTTATCCCCTGCCTGGAATCGAACGCGTTCCATTCAAGCCGAGCGCTCTACCCCCCCCTATCTATCTTTTACATGCCGACCACGACAAGAATACTTCGCACGATGTGGGATTGCGTTTGTTATCAAGGTCGTCTTCACGTCGACTGCTAAACCTGTTTCTACTCAGACCCTCCAAACTATCCTGTGTGAACTGATCGGCTAAGGGAAACGAGGCTTCCGCTCGAAAAATGACAGGCCCTCTCACAAATGGTTCATGCAGAACACAGCGCAAGTACGAAGCATGGTTCTACGAGTGATCCCAACACCCCCAGACCGACTTTCATGGCTCGAATGTTCTACAGTCGCGAGGGCACCCCGATGGTAGTTTGTTGTGGTCTGTGGTCTGTGGTCTGTGGTCTCGTCGAGAGAGAGAGATAGAGAGAGAGAGAGAGAGATACACAGAGAGAGAGAGAGAGACAGAGCTTTCCATAGACATGTCGGCCATTTTCGATAGCACGCCGCTGGTTGTGGAGCAAACGAGCTGTGGAAGTCGATAATGAGGGGAGGTACCATCACTCGCGTATTGGGATAGCTGGTTCCGCCCAAAAAGCAGAGAGGAAGTAACAAAAAAGAAAATGTTGACATCTACGTCCACGAAACAACAGAGAGAAATCGAGGTTAAGTTCATGAGGCGTAGCGTCTGCTCCCCATCTCTTTTGACCTTTCTCTCTCTCTCCTCTCTCTCTGTCTGCTTCTTGTGTCTCCCTCCGCCTGTCCATCTATCTATCTATCTGTCTGGTCTCTCTCTCTGTGCCTCCATCTCACATCTCTGTCTGTCTGTCTGTCTGTCTGTCTCTTTGTCTCGAGATCGATTGCCACTCACCAGCCCCATGTCATCGCTGAGAATGCCTCCATGCACCGAGGCAGGCCTGCAAGGCTGCGAGGAGCAGGTGATGGTGTTGTGGAAGACGCCTTTTCCGCCCTCGACGCGCTGTTCCCAGAAGGGTGGAAGGCCTGCGCACATGCCGTCGGCCGCCCATGGGGGGGGGGGACAGAGGAGGGTCAGTTACTGCCAGCCTTAAACATTTGCCAACGTAGTCACACCACTTGTATAATACCATTTGTAAACATACCTCTCTTACGACAAGGGGGGGCATGGTCCCCTCTGATAGTCTGATAGCGAAACAACGACAAGGCTAAGTTATTGTAGCATCATTCGCGCGCGATCGCTTCGTTGCTGGTCTAACATCGGTGAGCACGGGGGGGGGGGGGGGGTCACAGATCCGGGTGCGGGCCTGCGGACCAACCCAAGTGACGGCTGTGACCGCTCCTGCTCAAAAGCCTGCGAGGGGTAAAAATATATAGGGGATAGACACGAAACACAAGCTTCGGCAATGAATTCGACCTTGATTTCGCCCCCCACCGCAGTCTTCTGCGGGAAATAAACCAATCACAGATTTCCACTACCAGGTCAAGAGCTTCCCACGTTGGTTGTATATCGGTTGGTAGACCTTTTGAGGGCAAGTCATTTTCAAGTCGACTGATCAGCAGAACGGGAGCTGAACTCAGGCACATGGTCTTGCGCCCTTCCACGGACAATCAACATGAAACAAGTCGAGGGGCCCAGAAAGAAAAGAAACGATTCGACCGGACCGGCACCTAGTCTTCTCCTAAGGCCACCAACTCCTGGCCTGTACAATGAGATTGATATCCCTTACCGTCCGCGTCGTCAAGGATAGTAATCGTGCTTCAACAAGTCAACTCCTTGTCCAGGGGGGGAAAGAAAAAAACACAAATATATAGTTCCGGCACAAACCCATCTCCCACACTCATCAACTCCCGACCTGAAGAGTGAGATTGACATCCCTTTCCGTTCGAGTCCGGGTTGTTCTTCTTTCCATCATCCAAGCGAGCCCCTTCCCAGAAAAAAAAAACATATCATGGTACATATTGTCCACAAACCCATCTCCCACACTCATCAACTCCCGACCTTATGGAGTGCCCTCGACGTCCCTTACCGTTCGGGTCTGGGTTGTTCTCCCTTTGCACCATCCAAGCGAGCCCCTCCTTCTGGTGGGTCATGAGACTGGCCAAGAGCACCGGCTCGGTGTTGGCCGAGGTGTTCGCCGTCGGGAGTTGCGGCGAGTCCGCGTCAAGCTTGTCGAACATCTCGTCGAGCTCCCGCTGCATTAGCGCGAGGATTAATCGTACCGTATTACGATGATAGTGGCATGTAAATAGTGCGGTGGTGTGATGAAGACACGAGGGGGGAAAAAAAAAATAGTCGACTAGATAGTTTCAGCAGGTTTGGCGTGCGTGCGTCAGCGGTATTGCTGTAGAAGAGAAGATACTATGGCATCGTACGGTGGGGTAACAATGACATCGACGACGTTGACAACGGCAACGACGTTGCCGCCGGACAGAGGGCGGCTGGTGAATCAAGTGCGTTTGCTTAAGAGGTTCCAAGCGCAGCAGCAGTCGCAAGGGGCTTGCCAGTGACAGGCGACATCTACTATGCTACAAAAATCATGAGGTGAGAAGCCAATGTATTTTCTAGCCTATCCTACCGCAGTCCGTGGAGTGGGAGAAACGGGAAAGCTACGAAGTCTAGCAGTTCAGGTGGCGGTGCGATCGCATATCGTCACGGAGCCCTACCATTGCCGCATCCAAACGCAACGCCTAGTCATCTTGAGGAAATATTGTGCGCTCCCTCCCTCCCCCATTTCGATGCACCAATTCCCATCCCGCCACCACCACCATCAGCATCCACCTCTCACAGAGTCACCCCCACCTGGCCGTCGCTAAGTTCAACCTCGATGCGCAGCAGGCTTTCGTGCCACGAACCTACGAATCTACAAACCTGTGTCTTGACGGGGTTGGAGATGGCCGTTTGCACCGCCACGGCGTGTCCTTTGTACGAGCCCGACGCCCCGCTGCCCCCCCCGGGTGCGGAGCCGTGTCTGCCGGTCATGCCGCCCTTGAGGTACAGGCTGCTCTCCACGCGGGACAACCGACGGCGAAGGGCGCCGAAAAGAGGTACATGATGGGGCAAACGGCGGTGACGGGCGCAAGTAAAAGGTACACGTGGGACAGACGGCGGTAAAGGGGGCAAAAAAGAGGTACACGTTGGGACAAACGACGGTAAAGGGTGCCAAAAAAGGGAGCACGTCGTTACATGGTAAACGGAAGATCGAGAGACAAGTACGCTAGATGAGAGGGAGATCCTGTGTTGAAGGGAAACATGGTGCTCTCGACCGCAGACTCGACACGGAATGACGGTGCAGACCAGGGACGGCCCCATTGCAACGGTAGAGGGGAGAAGCACAGCGAGCGGCGACCAAGAAGCAGCCAAGCGCTCAACATAGGCAGCACCAAAAAGGGCGTTGTGTGCAGCAGCGGCCTATATTACTATTGATGGATACATGTAGCACAGCAGGAAAACGGCGAGCACTACGTATGCGCAACAACTCAACATTGCCACTTATCAATCAGCGACGAGCGGTGTGCAATGCGTGAGCATAAGTGGAAAAGTACAGCATACACCACTAATGGAGATAGTAAGAGACAGAGACAGAGACAGAGACAGAGACAGAGACAGAGACAGAGACAGAGAGGGAGACAGAGAGAGAGAGGGAGAGACAGAGAAGGTGCCCGCCCCCGTACCATTCCCCTGTCTCCGGCGCCCGACTCCTCAACACTCGCCCACTCACTTACCGCCCAAGAGCCGCGATCGTCGCCGAAGCACGTTCCGGAGGGCCGAAGACGTTCGCCCGGATGGGGAGATCGTACACCCGCGTACCCCCGACGGAGACGCTGCGGAGAGGAGGATCGTCGAAGGCGTTAAGGAAAAAAACGCAAGTTTGAGACAAATTAATAGACTAGCAATATGGATGTGGCTATGCTCAATTGGTGACGACCAAGGTCAAAGAGGGCCATCCCGTAGGATCACGGGCTCGAGAGAAGAGAGAGAACGATACTACACGACCGGACAAACCATTGGAATGCGGTTACCACAAAACTGAGAACAACAGTAGTAGCAGCAGCAGCAGCAGCAGCAGTAGCAGCAGCAAACAAAAAAGAAAAAAGACGATGACGACGACGACGACGACGACGACGACGGCAGCAATATCAAAAACCACAACATCAACAGCTTCATAGGCAGCAACATGAACAACAATAGCAACATGCGTAGGAAAACTAATGTTACCTGGCTTCCACGCGCGGGGCCCCGTTGGTGCGGTCGTCGAGAATCGGGGACAGGATGCAAGCCTGCGTCGCTTTGATGTGTCCCACCTTGAAGTAAGGAATACAATAGGCGGACGGGGACGTAGAAAGTGCAAAAGTGGCTTGAGGGCAACAAACAAGCCTTCTTCGAACAGCAGGGAAGTGCGAGGGCGGGAGGTTTGTCTCATCAAATAGTGCACTGCATGTCCCCATCTCTCTCACCCTTCCTGCTCGTTTTCATCACATCACTCCAACCATTGCATACTTCGTTCAACAGCAGTACCTCGGTCAATGTTTCGACCCCGATCGCTCAACGACAAACAAGGGGCTAACAAGCGGAGAGATCAGCAAAGCTCTCGACGGCGTTTGAGTGCTAATCTTTCCAATACAAATCCTTTTCATAGGGGCTCTAGCAACTGCTGTGGCGTGAGCGGTGGAACATACCGTGGGTCGTTCCACTCCTATTTGTACCACGTGTTCCCGGTATGTAGCGACGGAAAATTTCTTTCTTCGCCTTGAAGAGTACGGGACGTGGCATGTGGGACGTGTCAGGACTGCTGTAGCGGGGATCACAACAGCAACAGCAACCGCAACAGGGTACCCTCACGATAACATCAAGTCCGCCTCTTCGACCTGTGAGGGCGTATAGCCCGAGCTAATGTAATAGGACACATATGCGTCTTTGCTTTTTGGGCTCATCCACGCGGTCACTCTACACTGCGATGTGTATTCCCGAGCACCCTTCAGAGGCCGAACGCTGCTCCGAAACAAACAAACTCTGCGCCCACAACAAGTTGTTGGAGTTGTGTGGTTGCTAATGTTATCAATGTGTCCTTGTTGTTGATGATCATGTCACTGTTGCTAATGGCGGCCATGTCGTTGCCGTCGGCATTGTGCACCCGAGGTATGCATCTTTCTAACCCACCTGCTGGCGAGTGAGGTTGTCCACCCGGATGGCATTACGGTCGTAGGGGTTGTTCGGCTCCCTAACGAGGTCGACGAACTCGCCAAGATGAGCTACGCCTCTGCCATTCGATCATAAAAAAAGGAACAACAAAAAACGACGTCAAAACGTTGTTCGCAACTGCTGTGCCAAACCGGGTGTTGCGCTCTGTCTGTCCGTGTTGGCACTTACTAGGCAGGGAACCGGCCACCATACATTCCCGCCCACAAGCATCGTAACGACTCATCTATGATACTTCAAGGGAGATGTGGTCGATGAAAAGGGTGGATATAGGTGGACGGTACCCGTTGAGCTCGTACAGAGTACGAACATCGCTGAAGCGTTTTTGGTTCACCTGTAGTGGCGGCATCCAACGATCAAGAGGTCGGCGTAGCCGTAGAGGACCTCCCGGATCGTGGCGTCATCGTCCTGGCCGGGGAAGTAGTGACAAAAATTTCAGTTCTCAAATCGTCTGGGTCGCACGGAAGATCAACGCCAAGTTTCGGTACACGTGTATGCCAACAGCACCACACTTCCTCCCAAGAAGGCAGTCAGTCGCTACTGCCGTGTGTGGGCCCTTGGTCTGGACGCACGTTGCGCCCAGAACGAGTTATACCCCTCTGGACAACAAGCTCGAACGAAGCGCAGCATCAAAATGCGGAGCATGCCGAGCGGAGCAGAAGCAACCCAACCCAACCCAACCCAACTGAGCCTATCTGGAAAGCGCGCCCCCGCACCCCGTGCTTGCCCTCGGGTTCCACATCACACTATTTACATACTTTTGGTGTACAGTAGTAGAGTTGAATCGCAACATGCATACAACCTAAAACATGGTGGTGCCGACCGAGTGGGAAGCAAATGCACCGCAGTATGCCTAGATCGCGTTGCCTCTGAGCGCTTGGCATGGACAAAAAATGTAAATCCTGACCTCCGCACATAAAGCGGTCGTCCATGACTTGCTGTAAAGCTGTATAGTTTAGGTATACCTCTCTTTTCGAACATACATGAAATAATGGCGATCCTTCGAGATAAACACTGCAGTCGAAGGTGGGGTGCTGGAAGTCTTTTTAGTGACTTGGGACGAAAGCCTGCTGGATACTGGGCTTATTTTGAGTCTCCTGCTGAAACACAGGCATGACCGGAGAGTTCACATGTTCACATGTCATGTGCCCGGGCATAGTCTATACCTGGTACATGACTGCTGTGGAACTCTCTGTTTTTTGTAGACAAATCAAGACCAGAGCTCTTGGAATTTGGCATGGTCCTGGCAGCTAGTCTAGTGGGTACAGCGGAGCAAGAGAGTATGGAAGTGGGACGCCCTTCAGGGGATTGCTCGCTCTATCGACGTCTTGACGTCTCTCGACTCTCGCCAGAGATTTGATTTGAAATTTCAGAGGTACGCCAAAATTCAAACGGCCACAGTACAACACCGCCACCGAAAACCATTGAAAAAAGAGCCGTCTTGCGACTAGCTAATTGCGACGCAGCCGCTCAGGTAGCTCCAATGCCTGAACTTCCAGTCTCCGCAGCAGCGTTCAGGGTCTAGGGGAACAGCAAATGTATAGGAGCAGCAGCAACGACAGCCCTCGTGGCATGTAAGTCGGTCTATGGTTTGAATCCGCGTTCAAATACTTGTACAAGTATGCATAGCACGCCCACAGCAGTACGCCTGACCTCCTCCTCAGTCTGAGACGCTGTCGGCGCCGGAAGCGCGGCGGTAGAAGTTGCCGTCGAAGCTGGTGCAGGGTGCACCATGTTGTATTCTTGTTTCTGTGGCGAAGTGTGTGCGGCACCAACACAGGAGACAGGCTCAGGGAAGCACGGAGACCAGGAGACCAAGACCAACGGAGCAACGGAGCGGCGGGACCAGGTAAAAAAAAAAAGAGAAACACGCCTCTGTTTAGGGGAGGGGAAACCTTGGAGGAAAAAAAAATGAACTAAATCGGGGAGGCGGCGGAGCGCAAGCCCTCTCGAGAGCAGGTAGAAGAGAGAGGCCGCCATGGGTATAGAAGAGGACACTCAACGGGGATGGAAACGGAGAGAGGATATGGCGGAGGACCTGAGCTCGTGGTTCTGCCAGCTGTCTACTCAGGAGAGACTGCAGGTCAGCGACGTAGTTTACTCCTTGGGGAAAGGCGTGGTCCCAGGCCCAGTTCAGTTGGTTTCACGAGACGGAGAGTGAGCTTGCCCGTGAAGCTCTCGCGCTGGCTCGGCATGGCTGCCTTGCCTCGGCAATCACCGGAAATATCTCGGAAGCAAGCCTAGAGACTCGTGGTCGCGGGTGGCTCGAGTTGACAGCCCGTGTGCCTCCCATCTGGTTGAAAATTTACGTCACGCACGATACCGCAACAATACCGATGACGAACCTCTTTTCTGTCGCATTTTCCTGCGCCAACCCGGCGTCGTATAGTCGCTGCTCGCTCGCCATAGACTTGTGCGAACCTGCTGATAAAGCTGCCACTCGTTTACCTCATTGTGGTTGTAAACTGGTTGCGAGTTTTGGCCTTGTCCCTAACGGCACATCGAAAAAAATGTGGGAACTCATCATGACCTGCTGGGCTAACCTGCTGGGTCACATAGCCTGTCTCTAGATTGCACCTTATGCACAAAATGATATCATCCTTCTCCCCCGATTCAATTCCAAATTTGACCCTACTTGTACTGCGCGTCCATCCCAACCCACCCCGCATCACGACCATGGACTCCAGGCGATCGCAGTGGATGACGTCATCTGGATACGTCTCTTCAACGTTCTCTACCGCAAGCACAAGTCGTGGATGAGCCAACGGGGCACGCCGCCAACATGGGAACGAGAGAAGGCAAGAGAAAAGAGGGAGAAAAAAATGGTGGTCGTTCAGGTTCAAATACGTCGAAAATCCGTTCCCGGCTTCCAATGCCTCGAGCCCGCCGTGTACATGGGCTGCTGCTACCGCGCGGCGGGCGGTCAACCGTCGTTTTTCTCTCGATGATCAACCGCTCTAGACCACTGCTCCGTCTTGTTTTGTGAGTGTTGCGGAGCTTGACTTTGCAGGGTTGAGCTCGAAATCTGCTGGGTGTTCATATGCACATTCAGCGCATGCGCAGCTAAGCCTAAACAAATGCACAGGTATGCATGCAGCTGCGTCGCTTCACATGAGGAACTTGTAGGAAGAAGTTCTTGCCCCGCCTGACCTTCCCACCGTGTCTGTCCAAATGCCCAAACCCTGTGCAAACATCAGCACAGCTTGTCAGATTGTGTCCCCCTGTCTCTTTCTCAGCAATGCCGCAAGCATCAGGTCGCGCCCTCGGGCGGGGCGCAGCGACTACAAACCACTGCTGTGATTGTCGTGGTACACATACAGTGACGATCGGTTCGACGGAACCAAGTCACTCGCGCATTACGGGGCATCTTGGCATCAGCTCTTCTCTTATGCCAAAATGCACCCAAATATTCAACTATTCCTGTAGGAGTAGTGTTAGCCTAGAAAAAACAGATGGGATCAACGGGGTGACAGTTGTTGCATGAGTGCAGTATTGCATGAGTCGGATACATGCCGTATTGCAACTAATACATAATGTAGGACACTCCCCTCCCCGTTCTTCTGCCATGTTTTGGCCCCCTCGCGCTGACTTACCCTTTAGAAGTACTTATTTACTTTTTTGAAAAATGCTACGCCTTTCACGCGAATATGTAAGGTGCGAAAAATATACGAGAGGCTTCAGCGAAACGAGCAAAATCGTGTTGCCGGCGTCGCCGCCGCCGCCGCCGCCAGTGCATCTTCCGATGCGGCAACGCCGCCCCACGAAGGCGCCCGCGCGCCCCCACCGTCATTTGTTCCCCCGCCACGCACTGCGGCGGTGGCAGCAGGGACGAAACCGACGCCCGTGGAGACGGGAAGCCTCGACAACGGAGGGCCGGGCGCGGCAGGAGGCTATTGCAGCGGGGGCGGTGGTAGCGTGCAGTCGGCGCTGCAGGTCGGGGAGCGGTTGAACGATGCGGTCCGATTGTGCAGCCTCGGGTGCGGCTCGGCGGGAGGGGGCGGCGGCGGAGCCAAGGGAGAGGGAGGGAGAGAAGGGGGGGCATCATCCGGGCCCCGCGGGGCGCTTACCCTCAGCGAGGCAGAGCTGTCTAAGCCGAGAAGACTGCTGAACGATCTACGATTATTGGCTTGTCGCCCCTCCGATGGCAAGGAACAGACAGCGGCGGCGGCGGCGGCTTCAGCGCTACCCAAATCAGAGCAAGGGAAGGACGTGCGGGGCAAGCGGGGTGTGGCGGCGGCGGCGGCGCCAGCAGCAGCGGCGGAAGCATCATTACCAGCAGCGGGCTGTAAGGCGGGGTTCTTGACTCCGGCGTTGGCGGAGGAGGAGGCGAGGTGGGCGGGCGCGTCGGCGGATTGCCACGATCCGCTTATGGAGACGGCGTGGTTGGCCGAGAGGTTTCCGAAGGCGACCCTCGGAGACCTGCTGGTCAACCGGCTGGAGCTCAGCTTGTGGGCGAGCTACTGGGGGCGCCGGCGACCACGGGGTTCAGTGGGGTGAGCTAGCTTATCGTTGTATACTAATGTCCCTGTTTTTGGTGGAAGCTTCCCTGAGGGGTTGGCCTGCTGAACTGGCGGAAACTCAGCCTTGCCGTACCCCCCCTCCGATGCCCAGTGTCTGGCTCAAGTAAGCGATTTGCTGCACTTTTGGAGAGTTTCGACCCTTCCCTCGTTGCGGATTGGCGCTCTTGGCATATAGGGTAGATTCCGGGGTGTGCCGATTGGGTCGGGTTTTCATGCCGTAGAACAGATGCAACGCGGTTGTGGCAAAGAGCATGGTATGAGAAACGTGTGTGTGTGCGCATGTAAGTTCTCCTTGCAACAGAGGCAGCGAGGTCCCACCGCCAAGATTCGGTGAGATTTATCTGTCGTGGACGAGGCGAAAAAAAAGTGCTATTTTGTCGTTGACCCAGTAGAGAACTACAGGGGATGTATTGTAAAATGTATGTCACCTACAATAGCTGGCATCACTGATATAAATAATCAGTGTATAGACTTAAAAAGACTCGAAATAAGTCCAGTACCCAGCCGGTTTTCCTCCACTCACTGAAAAGACTCCGCCACATCCCGTTCGACTGTGGGTATATCTCGAATGGGTAGTCTTTCTGTGTGTGTATTTATTATTCCTTTATTCTCGTACTCTTCCGCCCTATTGGTCGAGTCGACGTGGTCCAGCGTGCGATGTCGGAGGATATTATGATCCGCTTTATGTATGAAAACTCTTCTCGCATCTTTTTACCGTTTGCTAGCCGGGGTTAATTTTTGATTGATACCTTTGTGAAGCTTGCGCCATCTATCTGTGCCATTGACGTCTTAACATAGCCCGTTACGTTGTGTTTGTCCTCATTCCTGTTGGTGCTCAACACCCGCGGTGCAGCGGGATCCCCGTGAGCCCGTTGGCTTCCGTCGCACAAGAGGCCGGCATCCTGCGCGGATACTGGCGGACGTTGCCTTTACGGCAAAGGCATCAGATCTTGGAGGGGCTGCCGGAGGCGGCGGCGTTGGCAAGCGACTCATGCGACTCGACAGCCAGGAATAGCAGCAGCAGCAGCAGCAGGAGTAGAGCCCGCGAGGATGTGGTTCAATGCCTCATGTTTGCGCCAGCGGCGTGGTGCTTCCAGGTGAGGCGGCCAGTCACGATAGGCGTGTGCCGACGATGCCTCTTGTGCGGTATCTTGATTAGCTCCACGAGACTCTTACTCCGGTCTTGGTTGTTCTGGGGCTAGAACGTCTTGCCCGTTCGTCGCTTTTCCACCCGACTCTCTTGTGTGTACCACGAAAGGCGGGGACTAGCAAAGCACTTGCGCGCCGAACAGAAAACCTTCCCATGGCTCGCTTGCAGGTCTCAAGAGGGTGTTGGGCTGTACCTGAGTTTGCTTCCCGTTTGTGTCAGACAGAAGGAGGTGGGGGGAGGGGGGGAGGGAAGGGGGCAGCAGCTTCTTTAGGTCTTCGACTAACGACCTGAAAGTGTTGTGAGAAGGGGCTTCCGCTCTTAACATGACCACCGTAGACGCCTCGCGTCGAAGGCAACACGGAGTACGAAGCACTCGCCTATCACTCCTCTTTCTCTTTCCCTTATCGCCCGGCAAACACCGTCTGGGGGCAAGTTCATGGTTCAACTTGACAGTATGGTTATTCCGCCGTGCCCTGCAAGTTTATTCATGCTGCGACCAACCTTATCACATGAAGTAAAAATGTTTTTTTCGTGAGGAATGGCTCTTACTCGTGCTTCCCGAATGTTTCGGCAGGACGACGGCGCCGCGGTGAAGCTCGTTGTCGGGCGTTTGCGGCGCGCCTACGGGGCCCATGTGGCGGCGGCGGGAGTCAAGGCAACACCGGCGATCGAGTCTCCGGCGCTGGAACCGGGTACCAGTAGCGACGACTCGAACGCTGGCGGCGGTGGTGGTGGTGGCGACGACTTCGCCATCGATTCGGCGACGGCCGCGACGACTACCGTCGGTGTCGGCGGCGGGGGACTAGACTCTTCGGACCACCGCAAGAAGCAAAAGAAGAGGAAGAAGAAGCAGAAGAACGCTTCGACTGCTTCGGCGGCCGCTGCTGCTGCGAGCTCGGTTGCTGCGGGGGAGGCGTCCGTGGAAAACCCACCCGTCTCAGGGGCGAAATCGTTGGGAGAACGCGGCGTAGCCGCCCAAGCCGACGACGGGGCCGCCGCGAGGCCTGCCGGCGAGACGAGCCCCGGCCCAAGCGAGGGCAGTAGCGCAACCGAAGAGGCGGAGACGGATAGCTCGGTAGGTGCCAACGTGACACCGTCAGCGTCGACGTCGGCGACAGCCGCGCCGCCGCCGTCGAAAGCGGCTGCCACCGTTGCTTCTGCTGCGGAGAGCGTGGCGGGGGGGATTGACGACGGCGGTTGGGTGCTGTCCACCAGCCGACGGAGCAAGCCGAAAGAGGCCAAGGAGGAGGTGAGAGAGGTCCGGCGCGGCGGCGGCGGCGGCGGCGGGGGCAAAGGCGCCAAGGGCAAAGACGGGGGCAGCCATCCCAAGGCCACCGCCGGGCACCGTGAGTCTCTCCGGGACTCGCACCGCGAGCCCTACCGAGATAGGGGGGACGCGCCCTCGAGGGGGAGCAAGGGGTCGTCCGGCGGGAGCGGGGAAGGGCGGCATGACCGCGACAGCAGCGGCGGCGGTGGCGCTCCGTGGGCTAGAGGGACGTCCCGCCAGGACAGCGGTAAGGGAGACGAGGGTCGGGTGTGGGGCAAGGATATCTCCACGAGGGACCGGCGAGATGACCCCGGGGGTACCTGGTCCAAGTCGGGCGGCTCTCGTCGGGAAAGGCGTGACGGGAGCGGCGGCGGCGGCGGAGCGGGTCTGGGCTCGGGATCTGGAGCGTGGCCGAGAGCCAGCGCGCGGAGGCGGGAGGACAGGGACGTCGAGGCGAGCTGGGTGCAGGGCGGGGAGGAGGATGCGGGGCCGTGGGCCAAGAGAGGCGGTGGCGGCAAGAGCAGCAGCAGCAGCGGCAGCAGCGCGAAAGAGAACGGACACGCTCCCTCCGCAGCAGGCCGCTCGGCAAACCAACCGCAGCACACCCGCACCCGTTCGTCGTCTTTTGCGGACATGGTCCGTGGTGCCAACGCCGCCGACGGCGTTCCCTCTGCCGTGTCTCCGCTGCGCAAGGCTGTGTCCGCCAAGTCGCCGAGGGTGGCGTCCACCCCGGAAGCAACCACCCCTTCGTGGGGCAGCGGCAAGAGCGTGGGGGCGCCGTCGTTTGCGACGGTGTTGCTGGGCGGCAGCGGCGCCACGTCGGGGTCTAGCAAGTTTCCCCCTCCTCCGGCCCTGAAGGCGGTGGACACGAAGGGCAGCGCTTCGGCGGTCTCTCCCTCAACCACTGTGTCGGCGTCACCGGTCACGGCGTCCGAACAGGCGGGATGGAGTGACACGCCAGCCCCCGCCGCCGCAGAGGCGGCCGGCCCCAAGCCCGCCAAGCCGATGGCGTGGACCACTGGCAACACGGCCAGCGTGCTGCGTGCCGCCATAGGAGAGCCGGCGCCGAGCCGCAACACGAGCAGCGGCCACAAGGTTCCCCAGGATCGGGCGTCTTCACCGGGAAGTGGCAGCGAAGGCTGCGAAGGAAAGGCCGCGGAGGCGGGAAAGAGTCCGCCCACCGGGAAGAGCGGAGGAGGCGGCGGGGCAGCGAGTCCTAAGGCCGGCGAGGTGATGGACGTAATGGTGGAGGTGCTCGACCTCGTCGGCGACGTGATCGTCAGGAGAGCGCACTCCAGGGCCAGCAAGGCCAAGTCTTACGCGCAGGCCATCGCGGAGTCGGAGGGGCGCGCGCAGGCGCTGGCGACCGCGTACCAGCGCCACGACGGCCTGCTGCAGGGCTCGTCGTGGGAGGGCGGCGGCTCGGCCAACAAGCACGCGGCGGGCACGAGCGATGCGACGGACTCGGTTGCCTCGACGGCGTCGGCTACCGCGGAGACTGCGGAGAGCTCTCCGGCGGTAGGTGCGGCCGAGAGCGACACGCAGCCAGACCCGGAGGGGGAGGAGGGTGGAAGCGTCGTCGAGAACTCGGTTCCGGTGTTGGCGCTCTCCCCCGATAATGCTGCTGCTAGCGAAGAAAGTGGCGTAGCGAAAGAAGATGCCGCGGAATTGTCTTCCGGCGCTACCCCTCCGGCGACGTCGGCAGCAGTCACAGCCTCTCCCCCCGCTGGTGCCGCCATCGCTCCCGTGGCTGCTGCGCTGGCTAGCTCCCGTGATGTGGTGCCTGCCGCGGTCGAAACTGCACCGAGGGCCGTCGAGAACGGCCCGGTCGCTGCCGCACCGCCGGGGGATCCCCCGACCTCCAATCACGCCACCTCTCGGGGCAGCAGCGGCAGCAGCAGCAGCAGCAGATGTGGCAACAGCAACGCCGAAGCGGGGGGCGTCCGGTCCCGACTATCGACGACCGCTGAGCCAGAGCGGAGACGAGCAGGAGCCCCGAGCTTCGATAGCGGCGGCGGCGGCGGCGGCGGCGGCGGCAGCAAGGCTTGGTCCGACCGCGGTCCCGAGCGGGACCGGGGTTCCAACGCGGCGTCCTGGGCACGCGGCAACACGCCTCCGGCGGCCGCGAGACAGGCGGCACGGAGAGCGGGCGGCGATACCGGCCGGGCATGGGTGCGCTCCGGGCAGCAGCAGCAGCAGGGTCTCGGCAGCGGGGGGCACCCGGGAGCCGCGCCGATGCACGACCTGAGGGGCGCCAGGTCTCGCGGCCACAAGCCGGCGATGCCCTCTGCGCCCCCCCCCCAGCAGATGCCTCACAACCAGCATCAGGGGATGGGCGAAGTGTCGGAGGAAGGACGCGGGTCTGCTGCGTCGCTGCTCTTGCCGCGGGCACCGGCCGCCTTGCGGGCTTCGATGTCGGCCCCTCTTGGCCGGGACGCGGCGGCGGACGGTAGCAGCGACGCTCTCTCTCGGGGGGCGCTGACTACCCAGCCGGACGTGAGCAACGTCATACCATCTCCGCGCATTCTGCGGAGCCCCTCCCGTCGCCACAGGCCACGAAGCAGCAGCGCCGGCAGCGGCACTAGGCACTCCGGGATGCACGGCGGCGCCGGCGGCGGAGCGGGGTACCACCCGTACCCTCAGCACCAACAGCACCAGCACCAGCACCAGCAAGAGAGCTGGCAGAACAGCAGCGACTGGGCTCTGTCCGCTGGAGGCAACGGAGGCGGCGCTCCCCGTGGCGTAAGGTCAGGGGGCGGGGGTTGGCAGCTGCAGCAGCAAAAGCAGCAGCAGGCGAGGGACGGCGAGGGTGGGCGATCTCAGTACCCATACCGGGACGACGGCAACCTCTATCGAGCGCCGTCGCCGCATTCGGTAGGCGGGGGGGGAGGGGGAGGCGGTGGCAGACATCCCCGGCAGGAGCAGGGGGGGCACAATCGGCCTGGGAGGAGCTCGTTGCCCCGGCCTGCCGAAGCACCACAGCAGCAACCGCAGCAGCAACAGCAGCAGCAGCATCAACATCAGCAGCACCAACACCAGCAGGTTCAGCCGGCGAGGTTCCGGTCGCGCAGCGGGGGCGCGGGGAACGAGCTGTCGATGGCAGACCGGAGGGCGGACCGAATGGAGTACGAGTACAACCTGATGGTGTCATGCCTCGACCGCAACGTGGAGAGGTTCATGCAGAAGCTGGGCAGAGCGATGCGCCCTCGACGACGAGCGTGGAGTCAGGTGGGTTTAGTGCCGAAACAGCAGTCGGGGGGGGGGAGGGCGTACTCGTACCTTGGTTGTTTAGCCATTGACCGCAGCAGGAGCAGCAGGACATTTTTTTGCTTCTTTGACGGCGCGTGCTGTCGGGAAGACGTTTTAAGCTGACCTCGCGGGGCGCACCCGAAGGTATTGAATTCTCGCTCAGACCGATAAGTTGGCTGAGACAAGCTTTTGGAAACGAGAGAATAATTTTGTGTGCTTCGCTGCGCATTCTCTCGACCTATGGAGGTGTGAAGCTCCACCCCCACCGATCCTGTTGGGCACCGGGATCAAAGCCTGCCTGTTCCGTTCGAGGTTGTTGGTGACTGTGTCATTTCTAGTAGTAAGAATGGGACGCTCTTTCTTTGTTTTTCGCAGGCCACCTGTTTTTGTCTCTGGTAGTCGCGTGTGTGTATACAATCATTTGGAGTTTTGCTTCGGTTGTCGAGAGGATAAGCTGTGAAACGCTGCGCTACTGCTGTAGGCCTTCGTCTAGCGGGAATCTTCGGCTGTCGCGTGCTGGGAAAGCGCGAAAAGGCGCTGTGTATGTGCAGGCGGCACCAAACACGCGTTTCATGCCGATTTTGCTAGACCACTTTTTTTGTCACAGTGCATCTCAACACACAGCATATACCTCACGAAGGCGATCACACACACACCCCAGCCACCAGGCCCGATTGTTGAATACTCCTCCCTGTAACCATCTCCCGGCAACCATCTCTACATGCCTCCCCCGTGCGCTAACTAATACTCCACCGCGTTCCGCCGCACGCCGCTCTTCTTGCTCTACTTGGCCGGCGGCTCTTGGAACGCTCCTGAAAAAATTAAGGTGATCGCCCGCGTGCGAGAGCTGGTGTCCGGTATCTGGAAAGAGGCGAGAGTGGAGATGTACGGTTCTTGCTTCACAGGTAAGCGCCGCACCTGGCCGACCAAACGTGAACGGCCGCTCGCTGCAGCTCGTGGGAGATGTAGACTGGCCACGCAACCCCGTAGATGGGGGAGACGAGTACTCGCAAGAGATTGTTCATGGCCCATGCTTTGTTTAAGCCGACACGTTAGGCTAGTAATTACTCCCTGTCTCAATCTACCCCGCCATACTCTCTTGAGACGTTCGTGTCCACCGTCTTATGAAAGAACGTCCATTTCCTTTTCAACAATATATCTCTCTCTCTCTCTCCCCCCCCACTTTTTTCAACTTCTCCAAGGTTTGGAACTTCCGAGCAGTGACGTGGATGTGGTGGTGTGTGGTATCAATGGCCTCAAGTACAGCTACGGGGGCTCCCGCGCGGGGTACAGCAGCATGCAGACGGTGGCCAACCTGCAGAAGCTCGCCAACGTCCTGCAAGAGCAGACCTGGGTGCGCGGGATGAAGGTGAGCGGCAACTTTTCAGAAAGTACATGCAGCACAATCAAAGAAAGTTCGCCTTTTTTATTTCCAACCGCGATTGCTTTCGCTTTTGCTGCTGGTGCTGGTGTGTGGAAGTTACACCACGAGCGTCTTTAGAGGTTGCGGTCATTCTGAAGTACGAACTCATGTGACCTAGAGGAGGTTGGAAGAATCGCAAGACTGCTCATTGCTGGCAACAACTTGACCCCGACGGAGATATAATGCGTTGAGGAAGACGAGCAGCGACTCTAACGAAGCACAACTCGCTCGCTGTTCCCAAAGCATCGAATGGACACAATGGTGCCCTCTGGAGTGGACTCACGAGAGCTGCCATCAAGTGGTGATACAAGATGAAAGATAAAGGCTGACTGCCAGCTGTGACGTTGTCCAAGCTCGAACAGCCCTCACGGCTGACGTGTTTGGACTCGAACAGCCCAGCGCACCACTAACCTATCCAATCAACGCTTGCAAAATATGTGTGTACAGAGCACCGGTAACAATCCCGCCGCGTGTTTTTTCGGACAGGTGATCGAAACGGCGGCCGTGCCCGTGATCAAGATACTGGCGGATCCAGTCTCTAACGGCAACGGGCAGTTCATGTTCGACGACAGCCGCAACGGCAGGGACGGCTGGCTGGGGGGGGGCAGTGGGCTCGACTACATCCCGCTCGACATATCTTTCGAAAGCCCCCAGCACGGGTGAGAGCGGGGGCCCGCGGGAGGAGAGGGGGGTACGCAGATTGTCTTGTTTTTTTTCGTCTTGTGGTGGATGGATCCGTTGATTAAGTGGTGGTGGTGCCATTCGGTGATTTTTACGGACCGACGGGCCTCCGCGTTCGTTGTGTCCACGTCTGGACCCCCTTTCGCTCCCTTTCCCTTCTGAAAGAATGCACCTGTTGTTTTGCCTATTTTTTTGTTCTTGTTCTCTTGTTCGTGTTGTGCTGTTGCATCAGTGGAATCGCGTCTTCCAAGTGGGTGCGAGATTGCATCCAGGGCGGCAAGTACGGCTTCGCGCTGCCGGCAGTGATGGTGCTCAAAGAGGTCGGTGGTACCCGAGCTCCTTCTTGTGTCTTGTCTAGCCGTTTTATAGAGGATGTACATGTTACAATCTCACCACGAATAAATAGGGGGACTGTCGCCATAATAATTAGGACGAAAGCATACACACATATGTTACAATCTTGGAAAACGTACATACAATCACAGAAACTACGCGAGGGGATTTATTTTATGTCTTCGCCGTGAGTGGGCGAAAATGTCCTTTTTGTCTTCAAGGCGGTGGTTGTTGTTGAGCATGTTCGTTTGTGTCTAATAGGGCGAACGTGGCTCTCTCTCTCTCTCTCTCCTCGTCGCCGCTTTTTTCGCTATTGATGAAGCGCGTAGAATGCCTGCCTATCGACGTCTTGTTGGGGGTGACGCCGCTCTTTTTTTTACTCCTTGCCTGCGCCACGTAAATTATAATATCTGCAAGTTGGGAGTTCGGTGGCGGAGGGCAAGCGTTTGCCATATGCAAATGATACATCATCCCCAGTGTACACATGCCCTGCATTTGACGTCAGAAAAACGTAAGATTGATGACGGAGGACAATACCCTATCCCCCCGCGCCCACCGCCACCGCCGGCGTGCTCCTCACTTTTTCGCATGATGACACCACGCGTCCCCCGTGTACCCGCCTGAACAAACTTGTTCAGATCCTGTGCCAGAGAGGACTCAATCAGCCGTGGTCGGGAGGCCTCAGCAGCTACTCGCTCATCAACATGATGATCACCGTCCTGCAGAGGGCGGAGGTGGAGCGCGCCCGGGCTCGAAGAATCGTGGCCTGCGCCCAAGCCGCGGCGCTCGCGGCCGCCGCGCGTGGGGTCCGGCAGGGCCCGCTGCCACCCCCGGCCGCGTTGCCGCTGCCCGGGCAGGTGGCGGTTGCGCCGCAACAGCAGCAGCTGGGCGTGATGGGCCCTCCCCCCCCCCCTCCTCCGTCGCCGGTGCCCCCGCCGACCCTGGTGCCGGCAGCAGCGGCGCCTGCGCATGTTGTGGCGGGCCCGGGCCACGAGATGGGGGCGCCCAGCGGCGGCGGCGATGAGCAGGTTGCGCCTCTGGTGGAGGAGCGGGTAGGTCAGTACGTGGAGGGAGATGACGATGATGATGACGGAGTGGCGGCGGCGGCGGCGGCGGCTGGAGTGGGTGGGCTTTGTGCGACGAGGTCGAGCGACAGCGGCAGCAGCGGCGGGTCTGCTTCCGGCTACCCCGGCCACGAACCCCTTGCGAATGTCTCCTCCGCCGGCGGGGATGCCGTCTCCTCAGCCTGCGGTTCCCCTGCCAGCGCGGACAGAGCGGGGGGCATGAGCGACGACGCCGAGAACATGGAAGGGGCCAAGAGCGAGAGCGCCCCGATCACGGTCGGCAGTATCGCAGAGCACCAGCAACCCAATCCTCCTGTCACTGACGGCTCATATGACGGCCGAAGCCCGCCATTGCCGCCGCCACCGCTCAACACCGCACCGTCTCAAAGAGAGCAGTCCTCGTCCCCGCCGGCAGCGCAGCCTGCAGGAGGCGTTTCCACGAAGGGACCGGGGGACGTCAACGACCAAGCCGCTCTTGCAGACGCCGCCGCTTCGGCTGCCTCCGCAAATAGCAGCGGCTCTCCGGACGAGAGCGTGGTGGGCGGCGCTCGCGCCCCGACGCCACCGGTGGGGACGCACGCCGTCCAGGCACCGCAGCAGCAGCAGCAGCAGCAGCAACAGATGCAGCAACAGCAGCAGCCGCGCGTGCACCACCCGGCGGGTGTGGCCATGTTGCCGTCGGCGGCGCAGCAGGCGCAGTACAACCTCGGCATGAACGCCGAGCTGTTCAACATGAAGCACATGGAGATCAACCTCTCGCAGGAGGAGGTGGACCGCGCGGACTTGAGGTCAGTTTTTTATTTTTTTCTCGGCACGCGGAAGGGAATTAATGGGCTATTGCATGTGTAGGCTCGAGGTGTCGGGAGATTTGCGGCAGCTCTGGACTGCTATTTGCTGTACTATTTCGTCTCCTTCACCTGCTGTGGCAGCTTTTTCCCAACGGCCAACCACCTACGTTTCTTGGGAGAACAAGATAAGGTAGCTGATGGCGACCATCGCCGCCCGTGGAACCGATCAAGAATGGGAAGGGACGATCGTTCAGTACCGTGCGACGTGTATCTCAAGACCTTATCGTGCCTACGCCGACACCACCCAAACCACAAACATAGTCGCATGTGTGTATTGGATCGCCGTCAGCCAAGAACAGCCGGCAACTACGTTTCGGTAGTTACTAACACACAGTGACCTTTAAGAGGGCGTGAGATAAACCTGTTCTCCTTGGTCTTGATGTTTTTTTAGCGTTAAGAGCCTTGTCACGCGGTGTGGTCGTCTGAATCCAGGAAAGTGATCGATCGCCGCACGCCTTTTTTAGAAATAGAGACGAATAATAGACCCATTATTGAACCAATCAACTAGCCGTTTCAGAGAATACCACAGTCTTTTTCGTGAAGAACACCAAATCAAACCACCGCCGCTGCCTCCTCTTGCGTTGCTACTTTCCTGTGTGTCCTGCGTGTCCCCTCAGTGGCATGACCCCCGGTGAGGTACTGGTCAGGTTCTTGGCGTTCTTCGGCCGACAGTTCGACCCCACGCGGGTGGGCATCAGCGTAGGGCGCGGCGCCATCAGCAACCCGTTCGCCCTCACGCCGTCGGTGGACCCGCGGACGGGGATGCCGGTGATGGAAGCCCACGTGGTTATCGAGGACCCTCTGGACAGGGACCAGAATGTGGCACGGAGTTGCTTCGGCTTCCCGCAGGTATGTAGAGGAACTGGGGATCTTGTTCGCAGTCAGAAGATATCTGGAGGGTTCTCGCCTGGAGACTACAATAGTCCAATGTTACCATTCGTCTTTTGTAGAATGCGACAAGTGTTTCCATGTTCCCGTTGGCATTTTCGAGTCGTTTGTTGGATGGTGTTCACCCCTCGCTGTTTGGTTCCATGTCGAGAATCTGTTATCACGACACAATTTCGAAACCCCGGTGACCTTACCTGGTGAGTCGGGTGACAAGGCCCACCTCGATAGTCCCAAGAAGCTGAGATGTAAAACGGTATATTTCTACAATCACACCTATACCGACCGTTACACTCAGGACCCTAGCGACCGTGGAGCGTGATTCACTCAGTCGGGCCGTCGAACAGTTCGAAATTCTGAGTGTTGATGACAACCGCAGAAGATGTGATGATTTAGTCGTCGCATGAGGTGCTTGAATGCTGTCGTTGTCGTCCACGGTACAACTCTGGTATGTAGCAGCGGTCTCTCGACAGGTCACGCTGGCACTAGACACAACAGGAACAGACTACGATGGGGAAAGTATAGTATGGCACGGTGCAAGTCGTGATGCGGCTGGGACGGTAAACAAGACGACACGCACAATCAATCTCTACAGCAGTCTCAATATTGTGCGTTACCCGTTTGGACTACAATAATAGATGAAGCCCAGAGGAGAGATGCGCTGGGTTTGGGGTTGAGCTATCCTTTGTCACGAGAAACCTAAGTGCCTTTTCGTTTCTAGAGGAAATTGCAGCCTGCCGACGATCTCTTTCTGGCCGCTGATCCGCCGACCTCCGCTCTGCCTGGAAATCTGTGTGCACAGGTCCAATGGCTGTTCGGGCAGTACCTGTCGGTGTTGCAGGAGAGGGGAGCCGACATGGCCGAGTTCGACCGCGACGCTGACCTGCTGCAGATGCTACTGTACTACTAGGATGGGGCGGGGAGCAGCCTCTCTCTCTCGCCTTTTGACCCGCACTCGGTTGGCGTTCTGAAGTGAACGCCGACGACTAGATTGGTTTTGATTGGTCGACCTCTGGTGGCTGTTCTATCGTCCTCGTGAGTGAGTTGAGTGTGTGCAAACCAGCACATTGCCGTGCTGGGTTTTTGTCTTGGGGTTGGGGTTGGGGGGGAGGGGGGGCTGATGTTTGTGTGGTTAAGTCTTTCGGTTTCGGTTTTGCACTTTGGTTTGTTTGTTTCGGCCACGTTGTTCCATTTGATCATGTGTTTGACGGGGTGGGGGGGGGGGGGTGATGACTTTTGGTGTGTTTCTTGCTTCTTTTGGGTCCTCCTGTCGTGTCTGAACGAGCAGGCTTGCGTGTACCCTGGTAATGCAAGCGTTGCGCGGGGAAGAACGCAGCGAAGTCCACCTGGCACGGACGGCGATTGGCCACGATTATTTATTGTTCGCAACACCGCAGCGAGAACGGCTACCAACACGGTACCTTAAACTCGAGTAGGCGGTTCGGTTGGTTCCTCTGTGATGGTTTCTACGAAACATCGGGAGGGGGGGGCAGGAGAAGGAGCAACGGGCCAGTCGCCAGTCGCCGTGGGGTTAGGTTTTGCCAATTATGACTCATTTTTGTTGCTGTTTTTATGAAAGTCCAGAATATTGGTGGGTCGTGTGGTGGTAGGTCTTGTACCGAGAACCAGAAGGTGACATTTCATGACCTGAGGAAAGGGCGGAGAAGTTGTTGGTCTGCTGAGTTTTTTCGCGTATGAACACGTGGGTGGGCATTGCTCATCTGCGTGTTTCCATGAGAGAACGCGAGGGGAGATGAGGCTGGTGATCCCGAAACAAGCACCAGTCTGTTCGTGATCTCGCCGGGTCGTTGTCGTTTGCCGGTCGAGCAGTGGGAGCGCAGACTGATAAAATACAGTCTCTGGGGGAGGCCGGTAGTGACCTGTTTTGGAGCGCACGTAAGAAAAAAGATACCGGCGGCCCCTCTTTGTTGTTGGAGGAGAGAGCTAGGCAGATCGTTCGCCGCCGGAACGGTTAGTGCGGCGGGGGGGGGGGGGGAGTGAAGGGGGCGGCGAGAAGGTCGGTGTGTGGAGAAAGGAATGGTGGTGAGATGCTGTAACTGGATAGTAGAGATAGGGATGGTGATAAAAAGAGGAGCAGGCGGGATATTTGCCGCACCGCAGATGGTCTGTGGACGGCAAGAGAAACAGAGAGTGAGAGAGATGACGTTCGTAATATCTACACAACAGATGTGTGTGTGTGTTTTTAGCTCTTAGCGGCCGCTAACGGTGTCTGCTTCCGACCAAGGGGCAGGGAGGCAGGCGCAGGGCGGCCTGATGTGTTGTTTACGTTATGGTAGATATGGAAGAAGTGCAGTTGCTTCATTTACTTGGTTCGCGTCAGCTTCGTTTACTCGGACATAAAAAAAAAATCGTTTGTAATCCTGTCTGCCGCTGGTTGTTGTGGGTGTGAGGGCGTGCACTCCGTTAGCGTGCTGATGCATGGCCTCTATCGTTTCGTCTGCAATAGTAACCAATATGCCCTTCTCCGTGGCTCGCTACACGGACGGTTCTGCACTTGTATTTCTCCTTTTGGGTTGATTGATGCCAAGCAAGAGTAGCGTGGCAACCGACCCGACCGTCGTGGCACACACCATCCTTCGTCACACGTTTCGTCGATCTACGTCGAGCATTATTTAGGAAGTTTTTTAAGCTTTTCTTTCTCCTTCGTCCCAAGAGACTACTGTACGTGCCGCCACCACCCGTCACACAAATCCTCTAGAGGTCCCCCAATAGCAAGTCATCAGCAGGTCCCGCCGCTCTCTCGCCATTACCCCCCACGGAGACCTAACCCCAACAATGACACCGCCACCAAAAGCACGACGAGAAGAATGGACAACGTACTTCTTGCTCGAGCACAAAAAGCACAACCATATTTCCACATGGATCCCCCATTAACGAAGCCACGGTATAATCGTTCAATTTGTACACCTCACGATGAACTGCGGCTCCCCCGCCCGGGCGACGAAACGGACGCCAGGCCGTAGCTGGACACGTTAGTCAACCGTTCTTTACAAGTATATCTAAATAGATCCAAGAAATCAAAGAAATAACACCCCGTTCGAGATAACATCCCCCGTCTGTTTTTCCGGCACTACTTCCTGTTACTCGGAGGGATCAATTCGCGCTCCTCTTCTGAATGACCCGCTTCCGGTATAATAACGGCTCCATGTGTAAACCCGACCCTGACTGTAGGTCCCAACAAGTGCAGCAGGTACGCCATGCATGGTGGACAAAAATAAGCGTCTGACGACCTTCATCACTTACTTGCCACCCAAGAGCACGGCGTGGCGTTTGCGGAAGTGTTATTAAACTGCACAACGTTTTGAGATCTCATCTGGGTGTGATGACCCCACCCGGAGCCATTGTTCATTCCATGGGCTTCGTGGTGCTACTCTGAATATGTCTCCTTTTTCTCTTTGCTTTGGGTTTTTCTCCTCTTAAAAATGTCTAAAACCGGATGATCAAACAACATGCAACAAACGTACACGGATACCAAAAATCTCCTACCAACTGTACACGAACTGGTGACGTCGTCTCATCAAAACTCTGGATGCCAGCGACCACACAAATAAAAAATACATACTTTGTCCTGGACACTCATCATCCGAGGATAGAGATGGATTCGCTTTCTGTCTGTGTGAAATAAATAAAGAATAAAAAATAAATATGTACAGTCAATCAGAGAGCAGGCCCAGCGCTTCGCACAGCTCACGCGCGTCCTGACCCTTGAGCAATGCGCGGTGTCTCTCGAAGAATACTGGACACTCCAGAGAGCCGCACGAGTCGTTCCCGAACAGCTCCGGGGAAGGGTGGCCCGTGCACTGCCGACACACCTCCAGCAGCTGCAGCGCCGCCAGGTCCGACTCGCGCAGCCGAGAAAAGGCGGCGCAGTTCGCGGCGGGGTCCCTGGCGCACTTCCCGCAGACGGACCTCGTGCACTGCTCCCCGCACAGCGAGCACCGGTCGCTGATGAAGAAGTTCGTGATCACGCTCGCCTTCCCGTTGTCCTTGCCACCACCGCCGAACGCATCGGCCGGCTTCTTGGCCTTGTGGGATACCCTGGGGGCCGGGCGCGGCATGTCGTTGTACCAGGCGTTAACGTCTACTCCGAGCAGGGCGAGGGCCCTGTCCAGAGCCGGGTTGATGACCTTGGTTATGTAGTACTTGCCGTTGAGGCGGAGGCCGCTGCCCTCGGCGAGGAACTGCTCAGGGGACACCACCTGGGTTCGGTTTTCGATTGAATATGGGGTTGGTGCTTGATAAGTGTTTTGTTGCTTTCAATTGGGTGGATGGAAATGCTCGTGTTGGGCGTGCGGCGGAGGAGGGTGTGTCTCAGGAGTTAGGCGTTGGTTCGCATGTCTAGGATGTCCTGTTGTTGAGGCCGTTTGCTGCCGTCGGGTGACGTCCGGACTCGCTCCGAGGACCGTTCTTGGTGTAGATATTTTTTGGTAGTTTCTTCTGGTTTCTGTCATGGCAAAATCGGCCGGATGTTCCAACCTCCCCTAAACAACCAAAAGACGACACACACGCAGACACACATCTCCCGCGCGAACACCCCACACACACACTGAATGCATGTCCCGATGCATATCCTCACCAGATCCATAAGCCGAGCTCCTACGGGCCCTGCGACGACCACGTACGGAATGCGCTCGCAGTACTTGGGCTCCGCGCGAGGGTCGTTCGCCATGGCCTTGCTGGCCACGATAGCGGAGGGAGGCATGTACACGTCGCTTGCGTACGTACCCAGTCGGACCTGACAACGACGGGGGGTCGATTAGGTAGCAAGTGGTAACGCGTTTCGCAGCGCCGTAAAAGATGGATGGTGGCAGCAGGCAGTCGCTTCAGGTGGTGGTAGCAATAGGCCTAGCATGTTGAGGCGGTAGCAATAGGCCGTTGTTGCATGTGGGCGGGAGGAGAGCGCGTAGGATAGGACAGGAGGGTGTGATTTTCGTTTCATTAGTATGGTAGCAGCACCAGCACCAGCACCAGACAGCAGCAGGGAGAAGCGGTACACGCCTAAGAAGCACGGGGTCATTGTCTCTTTAAGCTGTTTAAATGGAAAATTTGTCGTCGGTTCCGTTCGCCACGGCAACCCGAAAACCCTCTCCAACCCCGACCTACATATACATACACTGAGTGTAGTGTATGTATGTGTTGATGCATACCTCCTTGGCGAAGATGAAGTCTCCCACTGCAGCACGATCAGTGAGGATGCGCGTCCACTGGCGATACAGGTAGCCCTTCACCTGGGCAGGCAGGATTAGGGTTCCGGTGAGGGTTATGGTCTGTAGGGTTAGAGCTTGAGGAGGCTGACACGAAGCAAGCGTTGTAATCAATCTGACGCAACTGTTTTCAATGGTAGTCTCAGCCCTTCATATGCCCGGAACGTTCTCCTCTCTCTAGCTAAGGAAGTCCGATCCGGGTCACAAAAGAGCTTATCTCGTAGCCCAGCCCTGCAGGGGTGTAGGGATACGATGCTAATAGGGTATTGGCGGGGGGGAGGGTCAGGATTTGTAGGGTCGGTGTGGATCTGAATCCACTGCCGGTACAAGGTTATCTATTCCCGGGGGAAACCGTAAGGGACAAGGGTGACGTGGCAACAGCGGGCGGTTAGAGCTAGGGCTGGGTTAGAGTCCTGGGGTTAAGCACACTACTTTAGTCTTTCCTTCACCTGGCTGAGGTCCTTGGTCGTGAAGAGCAACCGGAGCACCTTCTCAAGCATCTTCACCAGCAGGGGGCAGCCGTCCCGCCGCACTGTCTCGATACCCTGCTTGTTTCCAAATAGAGATCAGATTGGTGTTGGTGGTGGTGTGCCTATGCGAGTCGGAAAACAGGATAAGGTTGATTCGCGTCAAGAATTTTCGCTGGTTCTTCACTCGAGAGCACCGTTCAACGATGTTGACATCTTGAATACTTCCATATTTATATGACGCCAGATCGGGGCTCTTCAAATCGACAAGGGTGAGGCGTTAGGGAAGTTTGAATATCAGGGCGACGGGCATTACACGGGGATGACGATCTAGCAAGATCACTGTCTGAGGGTTTTCTGATCCGAGGGGTTCCCTCAGAAAAACATTCAAAAACAAATGCAGGAGAACCTCTTCGTACATACAAAATGCCAGGTAGGCACGAACAAATAGACTAAGCTATGGTGGCGCATGTGCGGCGGGTGGGTGTGAATGCATCCAAAACTCACGCCGCCACAACACTATCGACCTGGCCCTTATC